ACTTACAACCATGCAGACTAAATAAGCATGTCATATGAGGGGTTACCAACCAATATTTGAAATGTATAGGGAGAGTAAGAACTCGCAGGGTGGGCAGCCGCCTACCTTGCCCCTCCCATAGTACCGCCTATGCTCAGGGGTGGCAAATTATTTTAGCAAAATTAATTTTAAAAATTATGTACCTAATGAAAAAAAAAAAAAACCATAAAAAAAAGAAAACAGTATGTTTTACTATGTTATAATTTGTAATTTAAAAAAAAAATTGTATTTTTATTATATTGTTAATTAAAAAGAAAGAAAATTGTATGTTTTATTATGTTATAATTTGTTTAATTTATTAATTAAAAAAAGTATTAAACGATTTTCATTTATAAATTATATTTTGATATTAAAGAATCTCGATTATGGATGAAATAATAAGTGTTATATAATTGTTATTTACTTTTGGGGAGGAGCATAAATACGGGCCTGAATATACATAATATTAGTTCACCAAAAAAAAAAAAAAATATATCGCCAAACACGGTATCACGACACACACATACACAGGGGCGTCATTTCAACTTTTGAAAGGATGAGGCATCTGATTAAATTTGCCGACTTAATAATATTTAAAAAATTATGGTTACCTATATATTTAAATATTTAATATTTATGGACGATAGACCAGGGGCGTATGTAAACTTACTTTTATGGTGTGGGCGACTCAAATTTTTTCTTTAATTTCGGCTCAAAATTTACTAGTAAAGTTTTTGATAGTATTTAAATCAGGTGAATCCTTAATATTTGTGTTTATTTTTATTTTTATTTTTTTTATCTAATGCCGGATCCACTTATAATCGACTTTTGTGTAGTTATTTTTTAACACCTCTCTGTATTTTGAAAGTTATGCTTGTATTTTATTTGATTTTTCACTAAATATGGACCCGACAAAAAGTCCAATTCAGTACTCACAGACATGCGTAATTTGATTTCGTTATAAAATGATCTACATTAAAAAAATTTGAATTGTGTAACTCACATAATATGTCTCACATTATATTATAATCAATATGAATTCAAAGGGGGAGGCGGTCGCCCCTTCTTAAATTTAAACTAAAACATACCTAATGCGAAGTTTATCTGTCATTTATGTTTTATTTTCTCAATGATAATTATGTGTTATGTGATTTTATAAATAAAAATTGTTTCAAATCTATATTTGTAGCTATTGAAGTAAAATTATGATAAATTAATCAAATTGTGTTGTACTTGTATGTTTTAATTTTCAAAATGAATGAAATTATACTTTACATATCGTATTCATCACTGTCAAATGACGATGAAGACATTGTTAACTTTATTGAACGATTGGATTGCTCAAGAAAAAAGCAAATTTATAGAAACCGATTAGATTTCAGTACTTGGAATGAGATTGAACTTTATAATCGGTTTTGTCTAAAAAAACGTATTGTGAATGTAATATTGAAATTAATTGTGGATAAAATTCAATTTCCTACCAACAGGTATGCTAAAATTAAACGAAATTAAAAACTTAATGCAAACGAAAATTTATTTAGGTATATCTTACAAAAACTATTTTTAATTTTTAGAAATCATGCCATTACTCCTGAGCAAATGATGTTATTAATGACAGATCAGACACGTTTAGTAATTACTTTTAATAATTAAAATAATAAATCAATGATAATTAAACAAAAAATCTATTTTGATAATATTTATTTTTGGAACATCTATGTAAAATCATGGAAGAAAATTGAAAAGTATAGTTTTGTTAAGGGTGACACTTAAACTAATTGATGTACGGAATACAAATTAAATTACACTTAAGAACTACATTTATGTTTAGTAAATCTATAGTTTAAGTTATATATGAAATAGCGGACCAAAATACAAGGATAATATAAAAGGATATCTAAGTTATTATTATCGTTAGTTATTTAAGTTAAAGACGATTCACCAACGCCTAAAAACTGTTTAATATAGGCAATTTAAAATACATTCCGGAATAATATGGTCCGGATGAATACGTTCCGGGCAAATACGGTTTTCGAAGTTTTGATTCGGGCGAGATACTGTCCGGATAAATACGGTTTATATACTTTGGATTCCGACGAGATACGGTCCGGATAAATACATTCCGGGATTATACGGTTCGGACATATTCTTTCCGGATTATTATAGCCTTCCGCGGTCACTCCTCATTTCGACATCTTTTTTGTAAAAAATTGTGCGGTCAAATGCGGAGTGGCCAGTATGTATAAATATTATCTTTGTTGAATAAACGATCGGGGCCGGGTGGTAGTAATGTGAAAACGGTACCCACCCGGTCCTCAGTTCAAAAAAAAAAAAAAAACAGTGGAGAAGTTTGAATAAAATATAGAGGAACAAAATACCTATGCTTATTTTTTTAACTAACATTACCAATCATAAAACATTAGTTTTAAACTCAGCTACATTAATTCTTAATTAACCGTTTTGTATCTAAATTAAATATCTATCGTTGTATGACAGGTAAAACACAGAATATATTCCGTATAAATAAATATTTTTTAAGTATTATGTAATTACATATTTTGAATGAATTTTAGATACATACTACATAGGTAGGTACTTACTTTGAAAAACATCAATGTATTGTTCCAGGCCCCAAGTCCTCAACATATCCGCAACATCAGCATCGGCCATAATAATATTTATAATAATATAAAAATTAAAAAACAAAAAAACAATAAAGAAATGTATCACAAAATTCGTAAGTTTTAAAAATGATTAATAACAAATTAACAAATGTCAGACACGCGCGTCGAAAATAAAATGTAAAATATAAATTTTATTGTTAGAAGTTGGAACACGCAGTCAGTGTACGGCGTAAGCAAATAACAACAGTAAACAGGAAGGTCCGAGACGTTGCAACTTGCAAGCAGCGGCATGGATTTATTTTTTCTTATTTTTACAATACGCATGGGCAATACCTACAAAAACCGCTGTACAGATAACGTACAGTTTGGCTATTTTTAACGAATACTTGTTTTCCTTAAAAAGTATTTGAAATCAGCCGTTCACACTAATAGACACTACCAAACAAGAATAGTATCCATTACACGTTTTGTGTAAAATAGCAATTTGAAATACTAAATAATAAATAAATAAATACTAACTAATAAATACTTTTGTAGTATTAACAGATTCAATGCTTGAATCAAAAATGTGTTTGTACCCAAAATATATCATTAACAGAACTTATATAGTAACTATATCAAATAGGTTTGTATTTATTACTAAAAAGTGGGTGGACGTAAACATTGCAACTACTAAATATCTTTCAACCAAATAATTCGGTAAATTATTTTTTTCCGTGGACGCGCTGAACGTTTTCACGGACTACATGCATTGTAGATACGGCTAATGTATAGCTTACGCAATACGAAATCATGATAATTTATAATGAACGACTCGATTGGCGTATGTTATACGTTTATTGCGTGCACAACGGTACATTTTATGTTATTTAAGTACAATACCATAATAATAATAGGTATGTGCTGCGCCGAAATAATGGTCGAAAAAACAAAGTCTATTAAAAAACGGTATGTAGACCGTTTGCGCCGGACCGTGTCAAAGCCGCCGTGGCCGAGCGGTTTGCTTTTTCAATTCTGGCTAATTATTATAAACGATTAAGTTTTCTACGTATTTGTTCACGCATACACACGTCGTCCATACGTGATAAAACGGAGAAGGATAAACGTGATGAGAGGGGAAGCGAAATCCAGTGAGCATCGATTTCGTCGTTAAATTTTGAACATTATACGAATTGGTGACTGTATTCGTATGATTTTTCGTTTTTCTATTTTAATATCTATAATTTAGAATGCCATGTGTAGACATCGGTTTGAAAAATTGTTCGCAATTATTACTAAAAAAAGATTTTGAAAACGTACAGTTATACAAGTTACGTATAATAACGGGAAATGCTTGTCCAATGTACGTTATTAATGATTGCTATGAATTTCAATCACCTTTCTTCTTAACTGTAAATCTCGACGTTTAACATACGTCTGAAACTTAGCCATCCATTTGAATTCGACTGCTTACGAGTTTACTTATCAATACGGCTCCGATATATATGTATTAAAATACAAAAATATGTAAATACATATAATAAAAAAACAAAAATGTGCAAGTTAAAAATAAATAAAAAGTATTATTTGAACAATTAAACCTCATTCTTAATTGGATATTAATTGCAATGAAAGACCATATACATACTCAAGTTAAATGCTCTACGGTTTGGTTCAATGACGTCCATCTATAAAAATCCAAGGTAGAGACACATGTGATGTATTAACATTTTAAAAAAGTATAATGTAATAAATAAAGTAGAATAAAAGAACTATTTTTTAAAGAGATCAGATATTTTTGATTGTTTTTTAATGTTTGACCTATCTGTGAAGTTTTCAATAACGTTTAGCGCTGAAAAAATCTCGTCTCCAATTTCTTGTTGTTCTTGAATGTATTTACGTACAACCTGTAAATTATCTAATGCCTGGGCAAGAGTTGTTCTAGAAAAAGCCAATTCACCATCGTCATCAATATCCGACTCTTCCCCACTTGACTCGTTGGGCATTTCTTTGAATTTTAAATCGTTCAGTATTTCATTATCAGTAGGATAGTATGTTATTATAACACCAGAGTCCACCTCAACAAAATGTTGGAATTCAACAGCATTAGTCTCAGGAAAAAGCTGCTGGTATCGATCCCACTCAATTGGGTTTTCTTCTTCGACTGGTTTTTCCTCCATCTGTTCTTGAATTTCTAAAAGACAAAAGTAATACATATGTAGTTACAAATCATAGAAACATATAAATAAAATAAACAACTTATTTATACCGTTTGTAAAGCCAGCTTTGTGGAAACAATTTGCAATCGTGGACTGTGTGACTGCTCCCCAGGACTTATGCAGTAATTTAATTGATTCTAAAAGATTTATGTCATCTATCTCAAGTCCGGAATCCATTTTTCGCAAATTTCTTTGCATTATACTTCTCCGATAGTGATGCTTTATGTTTTTTATAATTCCTTGATCCATTGGCTGTAGTTTAGATGTCATGTTTGGTGGCAGAAATACTACCCGTATTGCTTTTAGTTCATGCAAAAGTGTTTTTGGGTGTGCAGGGCAATTATCGACAAAAAGAAGCACTTTTCTTTTATCGTTGAAAAATTTTTTATCCAAGTCAAATATCCAAGATTCATAGATAGTGGATAACATCCATGCTTTTTTGTTATACGCGTATATGACTGTTAACGATTCCACGTTCTTTTTTTGAAGCACCTTGGTTGTTTTGACTTTCCAATCAAGAAGAGTTTTAATTTTTTTTGTTCCAGTCATATTAGCTCCTACCATGACTGTTACACGTTCTTTACTCTTTTTCCCTCCGTGACAAGTATCTCCTTTGAATGTCAAAGTTCTGTCAGGTGTATACTTGAAAAAGAGACCAAATTCATGTGCATTAAAAATGTCTTTTGAGTCGTATTCTTTTAACAAACTCGGCACTATGTTCAGTAATGTTCACAGTCAACTTCAGACACCGTGGCACTCTCACCTGATATGATTTTTTCTACGATTCCGTTCCTCGATTTAATTTTTTCCAGCCATCCCGAACTAGCTTGAAATGTGAGGCTTAAATTCTTTGCGAACTCTGCTGCTTTTTCTTGAATTAATGGTCCTAAAATAGTTAAATTATAATCTCTTACTCGCTTTATCTATTCCGTCATACCATGCTCAATTTCTAGAAAGCTTGATGCTTTAAATCATTTACGACGTGGTAAGCAAGGGACCTCTTCAACTGCTCTGAGAATTTTGTCTTTATCCTTCAATATAGCCGATAAGGTACTTGCAGGAATACCGAATTCACTCGCGATATCTTTTTTGCGTTTCACTCCTTTTTTGGCTTCTTCAATAATTTTTATTTTATCACCGATAGTTAGAGACTTTAAAGTGCGTTTTTCCATCTTGATTTGACAAAATAAACTGAACATTTGTTGTGTCAGCATTGTATTAAATATCGACGTATACATTTCGTATTGACGTATAATTTTACCAGTAATAAATACAATAATAAAGTAGATAAACGTAACTCATCGAAGATATAGACATTGTATCGTATTATAGACATATTACATATATCGTTGAATTTATAACTGTACTTTTTAAGTAGTATAGGTAATGATAAGATTGATAATATTAATCGGTTTTCGATTACGATTATCGTTATTTATAATAATACATACATACATATGTACTTGGTTATTTGACCTTCGAGTTATCGAGGTATGTTCATTGTACGTGTTATATTTTATTATATAATTTCGAGTTATAAGCTAAAATTCAACTAAAATTACTTCAACTTATCAAGAAATTCGAGTTAGCGAAATTCGAATTATAGAGAAAATTTATCACATATATCATAAGTCGGAAGCCAGGGGCCAAGGCATTCCTTCGAGATATCGAAAATTCGACTTATAGAGGTTCGAGTTATCGAGGTTCCACTGTACATTCCTACATAGTACATACATTATTCATTTATTAGTAAATACATAAATAAATAAAATTATAAAATTAAAGTCTTTGTGTTTTTAAATAAAAAATATTTTCGATAACTCGAATTTTTTTGCAGATTCGAGTTATCGAGGTTTTCCATAAGTCGAATTTTCGATAGCTCGAATTTTTTTTTCGCCCCCAACCGATTCGAGTTATCGAGGTTCCACTGTAGATAACATTTTGCCCGAATCTGGTCAATGTAAGGCGCTCGAGAGCGAGCAAACACTGTTGCCGACGCGCATGTTAAATGGCGTCCAGCTGCACGCGGGTGCGTGCGGTGGCCGACGGGTCCAGGAAACAATCGTGATCTCGTAATCAGTGTCCCGCAAAAGATTCTTTTTTCGCTTCGTGGCAGCCGTTCGACGGGACGATAACGTATAATCGAGTTACTGAGTTTCGCCGCCGCGTACCGTCCTGGCACCGCGTAAGGTTAAAATATTATATATTTTATAAATATAATGTTACTCGGACAGCAAGTAGCTGGCCCGCGTTTGCTTCGGTGGACATTATTGAACAAAGAGGAAACGTGAGCCCACGGGGATCGGGGGAAATGAAATCCCGTCAAAAGCAAAACTGTTCTTACAGAGTTCGAAAATACAGCAAATCAATTTCGTGACGGATGTCTCTTTCGGAGCGTTAAAAAGAAAAGGAAAAAAAATGCTTAACATATTCGTGAGAGCAGGTGCGGATCTAGAAATTTAAAAAGGGAGGGGGGTTCTAGTGAAGTGAGTTACTACCATAATTCGTCGTGCATGTTGATTTGTACGGTCTTTTTTACGTCCAATTTTTTAAATATTTCACGTACCTTCGTCCGATATGGTTCTACCTAACGTCTAAGGGATAGGACTTCAGCACCCATGCCCTTCCTCTTAAAAATGTATCTGCGGGTGAACGAACCACGACGACGGCCATATCCGTCCTACCATCCTCCTCGCCCTTCTATATATAGTATTATTCTTTCTTATGCAACATTGCAATATACGATAATCATACGTAAAAACAATAATTCCAATCACTTTGGTCAATATTATCTTGTATACTATGTATGACCCGTAACTTGTACAACACTCTCTGCTCTTTGTGTTTTTACGTGTGCGTTGGTTGTGTGTGCAAGAAACACGAGTAACTCTGTTGATTTTTCTGCATTCAAACAATTTATGATGATTCCCTGTTGAGGCATATGATGTTTAAACATTACGAATCCGTTTTTTCTGTGCTCTTCCATTGGAAAAACAATTCCATGCGCATCTTTCAGTCGGTAACTCTATCTCTATGGCAAAAACTTTATGATATTTATACGCATATATTATTTATATCTGTATATATTTTTTATAAGCCATCGTTGACGACCATGTCGACATTACGTGTCCGACCACATTTGTCGTCCAGTTGCTGTGGTTTGTTATATGAATGTCTTGTATTCGCCGTCGCTTCAATTCAATCTCAGTCGCCGTTCACGTTGCGCAATCAGAAGGGTGATCGGTTGCCAACCCTCGTAAGTCCGCCAGCAGTTCGCTGAGCTGCTTGAGTGGCTGTTCCAGACAGGCGTGGATAGGCATAATCTGACTGGCCCGAAAAAAATAGAATATAGCGGTCCGCATGATTATATCCAAGTTCGAACTAAACAATTACCTCAATTATGAGAGAATCAACTCCTAACCTAACCTAACTTAACCTAACCACCTTTTTTTTCGATGTTCTTAAATAATATTTAAAATTATAATATATATTATAATATTCAATTTTACACGTGTTTTACTTTCTTCTAACAACTCTATGATTTTTATATCCTTTATTTTCTGCACGTCCTTTTCTTTTAATTAATTTTGAATCATACCTGGTTATACAACATATTGGCAATATTATACTATTTAAATGTCTATTGATACAATATTTAAATATATTAATAATAAATATGTATCTGATATTGATTGGACTAAATCAAATCCTGAAAAAAATGTCTTCTGTGTGCGAACAAATATTACAGACATAAGTTTTGCTAATAACTGGCTTGAATTATTTAGCACTGTGTCAAATAGTAATTGGATAGTAAACTTCGAATTACAGAATCCTCAAAAGTAATTTTCTATATTTATATTTTAATTTACAGTTTAATATTGTTATTTATTGTTGATAGTTTCTTTAACTAAAATATTATAACATAACATTAAAACATAAGTAGTTACATAACACAAAGTCATAGGTACATCAGTATCAATAGTAAGACATTTTATTAGGTATTCAAAACTTCAAAATTTGAATAGTATAATTGTTCTTAGATTTCAAGATTTGTAAATAAATTGTATAGATGAGTCCTGCAAATATTGAACAAACTGTATATTGAATATAAGTATTGGAGTTTTGAAAAGTATATGTTTAAAAGTGTAACCCACTTATGTATGTAGGCATTTATTTCTGGTTAATAATGTAGACATGTATTTATGTGTTTTACTAATGAATAAATCACAACTGACTATTTTTAAGATATTTAAGAACCCTACTGTAATTACATTTCTTCTTAATTTTAAAGGAATTTACTATGATATTTATAGATTTAAGCTAGATTTAAGTATATATTATCATTATTATATTTATTTATTTTTATTTGTATATATGTATGATAATATATAATATATAGTATAATAATACATGCATAATAGTATTAGTAGTAATATTTTTCATCGGCCCATTTTCGTCAATATAAGCAGTGGCCCACCAGGAAAATCCCGGTGTCCCGGTGACCCTATCCATCCCTGGTTTCAGGTCATCGAGTAGCAGTAGTCCAGCGCCGAAGTCGTCACGTCATTAAAGGTTTCGTCATAAGCAAAGGGGCTCGTCGGGGGAGACTTTAGGATTGCGTCTCCCTTTAAAAAAAACAGCTACTTCTAGTAAATAATTACTATTTACAATTTTTTTTTTTTTGTCAATGTGTTGTTACTAAAATTATTAATCCTTAAAATATTTTATAATATATATTAAAAATATATATAAATTTACTTTTTTATTATAAAGGCGTAGATGAAATAAACATCAATAAAAATTTTAAAAATATGATCCTTAGAATATAAATTATAAATGTGCATGGTGGTTAATCATCATGCACATTTATAATCTATACTTATAATAACAGATGTTAAAAATTAGTTGAATAAACAAAAAAAAAATTATACAAATACTTCAATAAAATTATTAACGACCAATCTTTATATAAAATAGATAAATAAATCATTAGAAAAACAAATAAATTAAAGCTGTAAAAGCCTTGGCTTTAATAAATATAATAATTACTAATAATTGTTTTAAAAATTATGTTAATTTTATATTACAAATCGATGAACATTCAAGTTCATGCTTTCTTTTATTTGTTTCTAATAATATTCCATCTATGTAAAAAATTTGAACAAAATTTACTAATTAATTAATAATTTCACTAAATTATATCATACTTTATTAATATAAATACTGGGTAAAAAGAAAATATTCATTAGAAATATTGAGAAGAATCTGTGATTATTATTAAAAATATAACTAAGCAAAAATAGACTATTTAAAAGTAAGACATGTGTGCTGAACTATTCAGCATCAAATGCCTACTAGAGGTTTGTTGGTTTTATATAACATATACGAATTGCTTAATAAGTAGGTATTAAATAACAATTTCGCTGGAATATTATGCTGATATGATAAAAAATGAAACTTATGGTGGGCTTTGTGAGTTTATAGCAGCGGAATGTATATTTCCATTTAATTTTAAAGTTTATCGAAATGGTATCTTATACACGGAGTCCGGATCTAATGATTGTCCAGTAAAGCTTTTACGATTTGGACAAGATTTGCCCAATGGAAATTTTGATGCTTATCTTCTTACTGCGACAGAAAACAATACTCAGAGTCGTATAGAGAAACTGGTCGATGAACGCGAACATTCACCTATTGCATCTTCAGTACACAGTAACATTTCTGCAAACATTTCACTATCCCAATCAAGTGAAACAGATAAATCTATTTCGTCCTGTCGAAAACGAAGGGCTAGATTTACTAATTACACAAGAAAAAAACAAATAAAAAAAGCACAAAAAAAATATAGACAGAATCAAACTGAATCTAGGTATAAGGAAAATACTACTATGCGTTTATGGAAAAGCAAGGTGCATTCAGGTATGGCATATGATCCAGATATTGCATATAGAACTGACACCTGTGTAGCTTTGGGTTCTATGACCTATAAGTGTCAGTGGTGCAACGCTTTGAAGTGGAAAGATGAGACACTTGGGATGTGTTGTAGCGCCGGAAAAGTACAACTTGAGAGGTTAAAACAACTACCTGAACCTTTCTACAGTTTGGTTAACGCTCTGCACCCAGATCATGTGCAATTCATGAACAATATTCGAAAATATAACGCCTGTTTTCA